GCAGCAATCCCATACACAACAATGCTATGCTCTATGAAAGAACCACAATTATAAGTCCTGCCTGTGACAGAACTGTTCTTCTACAGGAATGAGCCATAACAGCTCTCCCATGGCATAGGAAGGAACCTGAAATAACAAACCTGACAGTTACAACGCTGCTACAATACAGGAAAGAACCCAAATTACAGCCATGCCAGTGAACGCACTGATCTCCTACAGTGAACAATCCCAATTAACAATTCTCCTTGTGGCAGCACTGGTGTCCTGTCAATGAAGCCCAACTAGCAGCCCTGCTTGCGACAGCACTGCGCTCCTGCGGGAAAAAACCCCAAGTAAGTGGCAAAACTTTTACCCTGCAGGAAAGAACCTAACATAACAGTCCTTCTATGGCAGCACTGCTTACCTGCAGAAACGAATCCCAATTACAGCTCTGGCAATGACAACTACTAGTCCATCAGGAAGTCCTCCAAGACATTGATGCAGAAAGAAAGTCTATCTTATAAAACACATTACACTAGGTTGTAAACCACCTCTAGCCATGCAACTCAGGCACTGATTGCCATAATCAGTATAATTCACTACAAAGGAAGGTACAATGACAATAAAAGAAGTTTGGTGGAAAAAAGGCACATTGAATCCTTCTAAATGCAAAAGTCTCCCTATTGGCAACTACAATTGGCAACTCAACTAGAGAGACTGGCCTCAGCTGCTCTACCTCAAAGACTGCTCAATTTTCCACTTTCAAAAAAGCCAGAACAACTGATCTGCAAACTCACTCCAGGTTAGTAACTCAAAATCCAGGAAAATATCATTTTAGGAAATAATAATATACATAATACTCTGAATGCGAAGTTTCATTACTACAGCGGAAACATTAACATGGCACTCTACGATCTCCCAAGGACATGGGGATCAGGTGACAAATATGTCATGTGTAAGGCTACCTAAGACCTCTTCTTACTATTGTCCTCTCAGCATAATTGAAAAAAATACATAGTAGTAAATACTTAATACAGTAGCAGTAACAACAATACTATGATAGTTTTCCACTGCACATCAGACAAATGTGTATACCATCTTATTAAAGCTACACAGCTTTCAACGTCCTTACTGTATGTTGTTTGGTGGGCATGGTTTGAATTTACTTATAGCACCTCGTCTGGGTCTTACATTTTAATTACAATACACATTTACACAGCAGGGAGCCATTACCTTGAGGAGATAAGTGTCTGTTCAAATCGACAGGTAGCTCTACTGCTAATTGTCAAACATCACTAATTTATTGCCGGTCAAACAGTAGCAAGCTCTGCACTGTAATTAAGGTAGAATAACAATACTGGAACAACAAAATGTACACCTTCATGGGGGGGCTGCAGTGAAATGCATTCAGCACGCAGTCCAGCCACAAGCATACTCCTTTTGCCCCTGGGTGTGAACCTAACAATACTAATTTAGAGGAAGTCATGAAAAATCTATTTAGAAAATAAGTAAATAACCTTGTATATAGTTATGCTCACTAATTACAGATATTTTCATTTTTTGTCTTAGGCTTGTTGGTACCTCCTAAGGAAAACAATTATATGGCTTTTAAACTGATACATATGGTTGTTTTTACCACTGTGCAGTAGTAATATGTCTAAATGTGTAAAACTCCCACAATAAGTGCCTTTTCATCTTACAATTTCTATTGATTATATTTTAATTTGCAACACTTTGTTTAAACTTAACTTTAATGCTATCACAAGTGGGCTAACATGCCCCCAATGTGAAAGCATTGGGCAGGTGACAGGTATTCCTTATGGAGACATCAGGGATCTATTAGACACATAATGTCTTCCCTCCCTCTGCCCCAGTCAATAGAGCACAGACTGCTTTGCAGCTGGGATTTGACAGCGTTGAACCTGGAAGTGCTCAGAGCTGACCACTTTTAGGTTCACCCTCTGCAGAGAATATTGGGGAACAGATGTGCCTCCTTTCAGAGTCACATAAAAATAATCGGGGAGCTCTACAGCCGCCTAGATCACTCTTACTAAATCACTGTCAGCCGGGTTATAAAAATAGAAACTGCTGCTGCAGCTGTGAGCTTGTTTACCCCTTTCAAAGCCAGGACATACAGCACACATCCTGTATGCTGTATAGGGATCTAGTTATAGTTGGTAGCACCTATGCACACAGGTTCTTGCATGAGTGGTAATGCATGTGTGTTTGGGTGGGTGTGAATAGGCTCTTATATGTTCCCTTTAAACACTTACTAAACTGCAGTGCATACATGTGAACCAGGCACATAGGAAAGAAAATAATTTCTACTTGTTAATGAGTAACATCAATTATAATGCTGGCCCCATACACAGTCATTTGCTAACAGTTTTTATGCACTTTCAATGCACTTTCAAATCAGCTTTCAATCACAAAACCAATCAAACTGATTATGGCAGCCTACCATCAACAACTCCAATGGTTTCACAATTTTGATTAAAAAAACTTGTGCTAGGCTGCCTCGATCTGTTTAGATGCTTTTGCATTATAAAGCTGGTTGAAAGTAGTTTGAATTTTTTGAAAATTTGCTGTGTGGACAGCATAACATGAGTAAATTAGCACACCAATGCAGTTATGAAAAACCAACGAGTGTATGAAGCAGCATGGTGTGCCCACAAGTTGGATCCATTGCACATAAGGACATTTATTAAACTACATCTGCAGGTCTTTGATTTGGTGGCCCATTCACGTATCACCCTTTTAATGCATTTGCCTTTGTGCCTTTTTGTTACAAAAATACTTTTAATTTTATTTTTTAGCTGTATAGGCAAAAAGAAACAATTATTTCTGAAGTTAACTACAGTCCTCCAGCATGTGTTATATGTGTGTTATCTATCATGTGTTATATATGTGCAGGAGTTAGATCATCATTGGCCATCCAATGTCCAAAGTAGCATTGTGGGACCTGGAAGAACTGGTGGGGCAGATGGAGGTGGCGTCAGATGGAGTGGCAACTGGAGCCTGGGAATGTAATTTCTAAAGGACGTCACACTAAGGTGAGTGTAGAAGTTAAGTGGTTCAAATCTCAGCCAAGACACTATCTGCATGGAATTTACATGATCTCTCTGTGCTTGTAAGGTTTCCTCCCACACTCCAAAGACATGGAGGTTAATTGGCTCCTGTCTTAATTGGCCTAGTAAGTGTGTGCATGTGAGATAAGGTATCTCAGATTGTGAGATCCTTGAGGGTAGGTACTGATGTGAATGAGCAGCACTGTGTAAATTGTTGGCACTGTATAAATGTATGTAATTAAAAAAATGCATTTTACATCTTAGCCCAGAAATACTCTCCTGAGTTACATGTAACGTTCACTGTTATAGAGACCTAACTCTACAAAAGCCAGCGCACAATCCAACAAATTGTGTATTCCTTGATACACCTGGCTATTAATCCAATCAAAAAATGCAAATGAATAATCCTAAATGAATTGTGCTAATAATAAATATTAAAAATAGAAAACATCACACTAGAACATAAAAAACATTGTAACAAAGTAGTGTAAAAAACAAAACTAATAGTCCATTATAATATATTAAAAACATGAAAAAATCCACTCATCAAATGAATAAGACATAAGATATCAATAATTCCTAGGAAAAAAAACACATGAGCAGTATATACTGTGTAAGAGGATAATAAGTGACCTTTATAAAATGATCTGGTCCAAAAGGACCCTTCAAGCAATTCCTCCAAGATAAATAAATCCAGATCTCTCAATGATTAATCAAAATCAGAATGGCGGGCAGTGCAAACAAGGAGATGATGGGCGATTCTTAGATAAATGGAAAGGCTATTCCTCCAAGATGCCACACAGGACCATCACCGTACCCAAAAAAGAAAGAACTCCAATAGTGAAGTACATCACATCAAGTTTAATAAGGGAAAAGAATAAACACTTTCAAGGTGGCTATAGCGTATTAGCACGTAGCAAACAAACAGTCGACCAATTTGAGGATCGCCCATCATCTCCTTGTTTGCACTGCCCGCCATTCTGATTTATATGAATCATTGAGAGATCTGGATTTATGTGCCTAATATCTTGGAGGAATTGCTTGAAGGATCCTTTTGGACCAGATGATTTAATAAAGATCACTTATTATCCTCTTATATATACTGCTCACGTTTTTTGTTTGTTTTTTAGGAATTATTGATATCTTATATCTGATTAGTTTGATGAGTGGATTTTTTCATTTTTTACACGAACACTGTGATGATGATTTTGTCACTTTCTATATGGACATTTATGAGAATTTTTATATTATTATGGACTATTAGTTTTGTTTTTTACTAATTATTAATTTGCATTTTTTTTAATGGATTTATAGCACGGTGTATCGTTATTCACCTATCAGGACCTAGCTTTTAACAAACTCCAACCCACATTGTGCTAAGATATAATTTGCAACCACAAAAGTTTCATATACTTACCCAACAAATGTTTCAGGATTGTTTTGGATGTAAGTGCTATGAGTGCTGCCACCCTTAGGCTGGCCACAGGCAGAAATCTCCCATGCTATTAAGTTAACCCCTTAATGACTATATATATAGATATCTATATATGTATATATAGATATCTATATATATATACACACATATAAATATATATATATATATATACACACACACACACATTTTATGTTATATGCATTTTAGATGTAAAATTAAGGGATACTAATTAATAATCCCTGTGTTTACGTATTCATGGCTTAAATCAGTGGATGATGCCCTATCATGTAAATACGTAAATGGCATGTCAATTATATTATATTCCCTAATCCATATTGACAAACACAGTGAATGGTCTGGGCAAAGGTGTTACTTTTTCTTCGTTTCCAATAGGCTTAGGCTGAATGACCAGCTAATAGACTTTTGAATATGCATAAGCCATTCAGACCAAGCCAATAAAAAGCTGTTCTCAGTATATACTGTCAGTAAAGACCACTGCACACACACATAAGGATACAATGTCTCTCTCTCTCTATTGTATTCTGATACTGCTACTTATACCTGGAGCAGCTAACTACATTGTAAGGAACTACCTTAGACATGAGCCAGCTAGCCAGCAAGCCTTTTCCAACAGGACAGAAGAAGAAGTAGACAAGAATGTAGTCCCTTATGAATTACCCAACTTCATGATGAGCCTCTACCAAAGTTTTCATCGCTTAGAGACCAGACAAGGTACAGAGCTAGGACCTGCATCATTACAAAGGTCTCCATCTAGTCCACAGGCTGATATTATCAGAAGTCTGGCTGCTAAAGGTAAGATAACCAACTCTTTTTATAATATCAGTTATAAAAAATATTTGGTGCTATTTCATGTGCAGTGTTAATATTTTTATATGTCAAAAGCAATTTAAATATCATATTCCGTTATAAATCATATGGTGTGGAAAATGAAGTAATTGAAACTGGTTTCAAAGATTTTGCAGAATGCTGCAAAATATCTTTGACTAATCCTGGTTGTGCCATACTCCATATGTAGGTCAATAGTCTTTTTTTTTAAGGGTTGCTTCACAAGCAAAAATTGTTCTGCATAAAATCAGCCCTATACTGTGGATCTGGTCATAGACATTGGAAGGAAATCACACATGACAGCCATATAGCTACTGAACAATAACTTTTTTAATTGAAAGGGGTATGCACAGATAACCCGAGCATTGGTCATAGCTTTGCAACAGACAAAAAAATCCTGTCCAGCTGAATAACCGTTCCCTGAGGTTATCTGGATGGGACACAGACATAACAATTGTTACATTATTTTTACATATATTTTACCAATTGTTATTGGTAATAAAGATCTGTCATTACTTCAGCAGTTAGGCATAACTACTTATTTAATTTGGAGTAATAGAGTGGAAAGTTCAGTAAGTGATAAAAGTGTTAATGAAATTGTGTGTTAATAGTGTTTCATTTAGGATTAGCAAGACCTGCTACTGTATGTGTTTCTGAAATGCATATGGACTACCATGTATAGTCTGGCACTGGCAGATGTCATTACTGGGTGTTCTACAGGCTTTTTGAGGCAGACTTCCAATAGATGGACAGAACCCATAAGCAACTATTAGATCTACCTGCCTTCAGAACAATAAATGCCACCATGCAACCTGTCACATACTGGTTTTTGTATGTCTATGACTAAATGATAATCTACAGAGGTTTGTAGCACATTGGCAGATCAACCATCAATCATGCTCTCAATGCTCTAGCCAAATGCAGAATTGATGGAGCTTTTGACAAGCCTTTCAACAGATTACTGCACAACTATGTATTTTAAATATATTCAATAAGTAGTTGTAATCGCTGTTTCGTTTACTAGTATGGGGGGAGGATATATTGCCTGATATAGAGACAATATTTCCACATTGTCATCTACGGAAAAAAAAATCACAGAATAGCGTATAGATACATTATTTTTGTCTGGGATCACATTTCATGCCACATTTCATGCCACATCACTGTAAGACAGGGAATTAAAGTTTCAGAGGCTCAGATGATTGCCATTTACATACACAATATATTGTCCTCGAGATCTTGAATTATATAACATTTTTCTACTGGTTCTAGTTATTCCAGAACAAACATGTATCATTTTATTTGCACATTGAAAAAATGTCATATATTTCACTTGACTCTGTGGTTTTGGCTAAATAACTATTTTGTCTGGGGTGATCAGAAATGAATGGTGTTAGTTTTGGACCAGCAGGCTATGTAGATCAGTATTACAATTTTGCTTTGATGTCTGGGAAGGGCTGTGCAGACCATGTTTAAATCTCTGTACCAGACACACTTCACAAGTGCTCATTACACAGAACAGTAATACACATCCTTTTCATAGCTTGTCTGAATGTCTCTTCACACAAGACTGCTGCCAACCTACAGCACCTTAGGAGTCTTCATCAGTATTGTCCTTTTCAAAGCTTGCAGGCATTGAATAGAGGCATAGGTCAGACAGCCCTATAGAAATCCTATAAGATAAGCGGCGCTGCAATCCACATCTTGCACATTAAATTCAGTACAGACATGATTTAATTACTCCAGTAAACTTTGTTATATTCTAAAATGGAGATTATACAAAAACATTCTTTTGGAAATTCTATAACATTTATGCATACTGAATTAATTCAGAAAGTTAAATGCCATATGTACTAAAATAATACGTGAAACTGCAAAGGTGCACCCAGGTATTTTTTTACATAGAAATAAAGAATCTTTGGAATATTAGGTTTAGCTGATATAAATATAATCGCTTATAGTAGTAGTGTTCAGTGTTAACGTAAAAAAAAAAAGTTTGAATAGAGTAGTGAAGTGTGTATATATATATATATAAATCATTATATTGGTTTGGGTGCACTTCTCCTTTAGACCTATTTACTGTACACTTGTGCAGGTCTTTAAGGAGAGTTATGTCGGCTGCCAACTAACTCCTTTTTTGTACCGCAACGTACAGCAGCACACTACCGAGTGTTACCATGCGTTGCAGCACACTACAGCGCAGGTGCGCCATTTAAAATGAATTGCACCACATTGCACCAATGCAAGTAATGCACATTACCGTAATGCAAAAGTGTGATATGGCTCTTAGCTATTCGTAAATACATTTTCAAAGCTTATTTACATAGCTTTTAATAATATATGTCCACCCCATAAAAGTTAAACTTTCTCTCTTCTTGCTTCAGTTTACATTGTTTTAAAATAGAACTCCCCTAAAGGTGGAGTACCATAAGAGGGTGGCTATAACGAGGGCAATGTTTGTTGCTCGCCGCAGTATAGCCTCTAGGTGGATTTCAGTAGCGATTCCCACAGTGGAGGAATGGAAGAAGGAATTAGATAGAGTGGTTGGATTTGAGGGAATTATGTTTAAGCATTGAGATTACATTTGGTAAAATGTGGGATAAGTGGATTGAATATAGTAAGGGAGTTTGTTTATAATATCTGATCCGTCTGATATTGGTAATGTGTGTAGAAATGTAGGATATGTATATTGGTATCTTGAGGAATTGTATATTGTTGGTATGTTTTGTTTTTGTATAAATTATTGTTTTTTTTTGTGTTGTCATTTTAATATGTAATTGTTGATGTAAAAATGTTTGTTATGTAATATTAAAATAAAAAAGTATTAAAGTAAAAAAAAAAAGTAGAACTCCAGTCAAAACATATTATCAGTTTTGGATAGAGTAACAAGGGATAGGTGCTCTGTCAGGTTTTTCTTTGTTTGTGTTGAAATTTTTGAATTAACCCTATGCACAAATCTATTCACTCTTACATATTTTTACCAACCTTTTGCAAAAAAAGGATTCTCGGTTTGCATGTATTGCAATACATGTTCAAGCTGGCCAACGGTGTCAAAGTGATGCCTCTCTGGCTAGTCCCTACTATTTGGCAGGCTTGAACATGTATTTTCAGTGTTAACAGCTGGTCACACCCCTTTAGCACCTCGTGTGTTATATATAGCTAAGCTATTTAAATTTCGAGCACAGACGTCTCTCCATTTCTCTTTTATTTGTTTGTGTCCCTGTTGGGGAGATTTTTCCCCCCAGAGACAGGTAGTAGTCATTGGTGAGCAATAATAGGTCACTAGAGAAGAGATGAATATGCTTTACTTCATATCTGGGCTGCAAAGATTAGTAAAACCCTTTCGTACATCAGGGCAGGGGTGGGCGACTCCAGCTGTTGTAAAACTACAAGTCCCATGAGGCATTACAAGACTGACAGTTACAGCGTAACTCCCAGAGGCAAAGGCATGTTGAGATTTGTATTTAGAGGGCCGGAGTTGCCCACCTCTGCATAGGGCTATCTTTATGAACCTTCTCCTAAAACAATGTTACTAGTTTTTAGTAAAACCTTCTCTGAGTGTCTGACGTAAGAAAAATGCAACCATTTTTATTTTTAAAACCCCCCACATCCTGCAGTGTATTTGTGTATAATTCTCACTGTACTTTTATCATAAGAAGCATTTACAGCATTAGCCCTTACCAAGGTTTAGACTTTTCTAGCAATATTTGCTCACTACAGTCATCAGAATTGTGTATGCTGTTTAGAACTTGTTTGTCACTCTTTACAGTTGCAAAAAAAAAAAGGGAAGTGTGAATGCAGCCCCAACGAGCATAAATTTACACCTTGTCTAAATCAAATTAGCAAAATCTAATCCTTCTAGCTGCTAATACAAATGAGGTACACAAGAGAAAATGAGATGCAACAGGAGATTAGAACTGGGTAATATAACAGGAACATGCCTAAATAGGAACCCCCATCATAAAATATGTGTAAATATTTAGTAGCACTAGCTAATAATGACATAAGGAACAATATTTTGAGGTGCTAAGGTTTAAAAAAACTTGTATCATTAGTAAAGCACTGAGGTAGGACAAATAAGGGGTGCAGAAACGCATTCTGTAGCCATTCTTTATAAAAAAAAACCATAACCATCACTCTACAAAAGTATTTTGTACACTTAAAGTGGTCTTGTTTTAGTGGTACATCTTAGATATATCTTTTTTTAATCTTTTTTTCATTCAGAATTTGAACAAGTGGACGAAAGATGCATCCTTGTTTTTGACTTCTCTTCTCTCAGCCGTGATGAACAGCTTGAGTTTGCAGAGGTGCGGCTTCATAAATCTGCATTAACAATATTGCACAGTGATGGGATGCCACTCGTAGTGGATATTTTTCATCAAGACTCCACGTGTCAAGCTGCTCATAAGTTGTGCCAAAACTATGTCTACTTGGGCTCAGCGACCTGTAAAACCGGAGCCTCAGAAAGTTGGCTAGTGGTGGAAGCTTCAGCAATAGTTCGAAAGTGGTTTGAAAGGAATGATAAAGCTGATGACAGCACACCTGTTCATTTGAAACATGCAGAAAAAATGTCTGGAGTTGAAAATGCCAAGAGGAGATACAAGGACCATAAATCTGAAGATCATCAAGTGTTGATGTTTGTGTATTCCAACTTGTCCAAGAAGGAAAGGTCGTCTGTGACTGCTACCCTCCTGCTAGATGCTGCGCAATCTAAATATCTAGCAACAAGCCCACTTTTAATTAACAAATCTGCATCAAGAAGACGGAGAAGAAGCCACATGATTAGGGATCGTATCATCAGCATAAAGCAAGCCCCACCAACAGCCAACAAAAGCAATCTTTGCAAAAGAGTAGACTTAATTGTGGACTTCAGAATGATTGGATGGGATGCCTGGATCATTCATCCCAAAAAATTTAACGCCTATCGGTGTGAAGGGAGCTGTCCAAGTCCTGTGAATGAAAGTGTCAAACCAAACAATCACTCGTATTTGCAGGTAAGAACCATTTTTTTTTTTTTTTTTACTGTAGGTATGCTCCTAATGTCAACAACCCTGGGTTGGCAAGCTCTGGCATTTGCCAAATGGGTTGGTGTGTCTTAGAGTATTTATGGGTTGATACAAGCCCTATGTTGCCTGCTCAGCCTTACTCAATCTATGTGCACCATCTTTACCATGATTTTATATCACGTTGTGTAATAGTAAGCACTTCATATTCTTTTTATGTGTTCATTATCACCCCCTAATTCTAGTCAGTTCCTAGGGTAAAGTTGGGTATACCCGTTTCTATTTTCTTCATTCAACCTGCCGGCTGAATGAATAAAATAGAACAGATTCCTTGATTAACGCTTAAGAGCGTTGATCGATGAATCTCCCGCATTGAACGAGGAAACTTCCGCTGTCAGAATACCCGAACAGAGCTGTTCAGCCGATAATTTTCCGACATGCTCCTTCGATCAGCTGATGGAGGGATGCCGTCGGAAAGGTGACGACAGTGGCACCCATGCTTTCAATTTGGCCAGTTCATCAAGAATTAGCCAAAATTTGAAGTGTGTATACCCCTATTAACCCTTAGTGGCCTATCACTTGTCTGAGAATCTGTCAATTCCTGAGCAGGATTGAACCGTTTATGGCCACCCTAAGTACTGGCTATTATTATGCATCAGCAGTTTTTTTAGGCACTAGGTATATGTACCACAAGTGAGGAAGTTGCTTATGCTTAAAAAAATGTTACTCACTATTATCCCAACTTCATAGTGTCCAGGTTGTAATCTAGATTTACTGGCCATTTTTTAAATAACAAATTCAGTAAGCTGAAGACCAGCACAAAGAAACTGCTGACACTTTTTAGCTACAGTTTACTAGTAGGAGCTCTATGGTCTGGTCACATGAGAATGAACAGCTTGCATTGTGTGGGAAAGTACAATGGTGTTCATACTACCGAATGCTGTAACACCTGTCTACAGCAATTTTTTTCTCTGCATGCAGTCATCCAACATGCTTATCTGACAATTTGTTGGCAGATCTACAGTGCAGGAAATGTAAAAATAGAAAAATACACCTTGACTGAAATTAAAACTGACACAGCACACAAAGGATCCATCTGACATCGCCTGTATGCATGTGACTTGGTGTTTCTTTATCATTTATCTATTTTTCCACCGTTACACAAACAAAACAGTCAGCCACAAAGGATTTTTGTTGAATGTTTATCTGAAATCTCAGTAACTAGGAAAATAAATATTTGTACTTTTCAAAGGGAGGAAGCGTACGTTCTTATAGCTCTTCTCAAACCAAATGTTTTCTGTATATCAACTATAATTATGAACTTGTTATCTGCAGAGGTTGACCTTCTTCAAACTCTCGCATCCTTGGCCACTTGCTGTGAGAAAAAGTGAGATAATCTCACATTCTTACACTCTGGGAGACAATCAGCAGGAAGTCCTGTTCAATTAGCATAAGACTTGCTTCATATTTAAATTAAAAACGGTTAACAGCATCCTTTAGCAAAGTTTACAAATAGCAGCTCATATTTAAAGGATATATAAACAGTGAAGTAAACTAGACAAATACTGAAAATAAGACTATTTGTCATACAAACGGGAAGTACATGTTGCACTTTTAGAACGTAAGTGTATTTTTTACACTTTAAAAGTTGTATCAATGCATTTTTTTCTAATAAGATTAGCAAATGCCAGTGTTTTAATGAAAGTTACATTTTCCATACATTCTGAATGGCAATTAATTCTATGTTTAAAGCCGGGTACACACGTATCGAATTTCATCAAAACCGGATGAAATTTGCTGCATGGGTGCTGCTGTCGGCTCCTTTCGGCCAGCATCCTTCGATCAACTGATTGGAGGAGCATGTAGGAAATCTCTCGGCCGATCAGAGCTCTATTCAGGTAATCTGGCAGCGGTCGGCAATCACTGCAAAAATACAAAGAAAACAGCAAGGGATTCCTGGATCAATACTTGTAAGTGGTGATGAAGGAATCTGTGATATTTTCATTGTTCAGCCCACAGGTTAAATTAAGAACATGCATGTATACCAGACCCAAGCCTGGTGTCAGATAGGTAATTTTGCTGCTAGCGTCAAATCGAAAATGCCAGGATCGCTAAAGTGTCCCTATGGAATTGCTCCCTCTGTTGGCAGATGCAGAGAGATGTCACACTGTTGCTGACCCAAACACTTGATAAATCTCAATAGGAAAGGAATAGACATCTCACTGCCCCATCTACAGAGGTATTGACTCCATAAGGCCAAAAAGCAGCATCCTAGAGATCCTGCCACTGGTGATTTTGACAAACCACCAATGGCAGGATTGCTAAGGACAGAGTCGCCATTCTGACATGAGCCTTAGAGCTGATATTGTTGAGGTAATCTGTAAAAACAGTTAAAACGTTTAATCAAGGCATGTTCAGATGTGGACATGAGTTAATCCACAGTAAACCTTTGGAGACACGGGTGGATTTACTAAATGCAAATAAGCTATTCACTTTGCAAGGGAATATGACCTTAGTTTAGTGAAAGAGGTGAAGTTCTGCTGACTGCCTTCATCCAATCCTTTGCAAGATAATTGTAAGCATTATTTTCCTTGCATGTAATTGGGTATTCTTTGCAAAGTAAAAATCCCCCTTGCAAAGTGAACTGCTTATTTGCCTTTAGTAAATCAACCCTACAGACAGTAATAATAATTTTTTTAGGTAAAGGTTGGAATCTTGGTCAGGTTATCATTATTATCTGCAACCCCTAGCCTTGTTTCTTGTCCAGCTGCAGGCTGTCAGAGGTACAGGAAGTGAGGTGAAATCTCTCCAGTATATAGACAGTAACCCTCTATCGTTTTTCATGTTACAAGGCTAGGAAATTGCCATTGTCGTTGTACCTCAGGTATGGTTGATCGCTATATCAGAGAATGGAATTATCTCACAAATATGAATGTTCTAATACAAGAGAACCTGCGGCAATCATGAACAGTGCTTTTTAGAACATTGATAACATTATTGACACCAAGCCGACATTCAGGCTCCATTTACACAGGAGCGGTTGTCCATGTGTATTCGGCTGTATGAATATGTGCAGAGCCACTCTAAGCATAAACAAGTGCAATTTTTTTATGGATTCTGCACATTCGCGGCTATAGTAATAGCCGCAAATGAGCAGAATCCGTGCAGATAAAAGTTTTTAGCATTTGCGTGCCGCGCAGCAAACGTAAACGCTATATGTGAATGGAACCTCAACCTTAGTTTTTTTTTTAAACTTTTTTTGTTAATGGTGGCCAGACTTACTTTAAAAAGCTTTTTTTTAGTCTTAAAATATTTAAATTTCCTTGTTCTCTAGTGGTATTCAAACTGCTAGCACCAAGCCCCACCCATATGGGTGCCCTCCTCAGTTAGCCGGCTGCTGTGGAGGCGCCTGCGCCCGCACCCAGATTCCAATGCTTTCTCAGCTGCTCTAGAGCAGATCGGCATCGCAGATAGTATGTGCAGGAGAACCGATCTGCCCTGGGACAGCTCATCGGTCCTGAAATGTCACTTCTATCCGACTTTGTGAGTGGGGTGGAATGTGAGATCGCAATCACAGAGTTGGATAGAAGTGACATTTCAGGACCGATCAGTTGTTCTTCTGCACATCCGATCTGCGATGCCAATCTGCCCTGGAACAGCTGACAAAGCGTTGCAATTCTTCACCTATTGGCGGTCACACATTCCCCCGCCAAAAAACTGGACGGGATTACGTTAAAACGTGTGACCACGTGACCAGTCACACATTCTAACGTAGCCACAAACTTTGATAGAACACCGCCATCAGGGGGTATGGCCGGTACCCATGTGAGGGGTCTAGGGGGCCCCTTACATGGGTATCAGCTGTACCAGAGGCGGCACGGCAGAGCTGACAGGAGGGGGTGGAGGAAGCCGGGCCCCAGCAGCAGCAGGCAAGAAGAGTTGGGAGGAGGTACAGGGAAATGGACCCCGATGTCCAGCATGCTACTGCAACATTAGAGACCGCTGGGGGGGGCGTGGCAGCGGATCACACTGGCCCCCGAATCCCCCCCCCCCGCAGTCTTGGGAGGGGGCCCAAGATAAAATCTTGCACCAGGGCCCTTTGGTTATTAGGTCCGCCACTGCTATCTTGTCTATCTATCTATCTATCATCTATCTATACCTGTCCGTCTGTCTGTCTCTCTTTATCTATCTATCTATCTATCTATCTATCTATCTATCTATCTATCTATCTATCTATCTATCCATCTATCTATCATCTATCTATACCTGTCTGTCTGTCTGTCTCTCTTTCTTTCTATCTATCTATCTATCTATCTATCTATCTATCTATCTATCTATCTATCTATCTGTCTATCTTTAAGTGATTTCATGTTAAATCTACACAAAAGGTGGTCATTTTTATTACACTTTAAATGTTCAGTCTCTAAATTCCAATAATTAATATATACATTTTTCTTGTCTTCTTTTTGCAGAGCTTGGTAAACTTATACAACAGCGCAAAAGCTCCAGAGGTGTGCTGCGTTCCCATCAGAATGAGCTCTCTCAGCATGGCTTACTATGACAACATGGATTTGCTGCATGGGTGCTGCTGTCGGCTCCTTTCGGCCAGCATCCTTCGATCAACTGATTGGAGGAGCATGTAGGAAATCTCTCGGCCGATCAGAGCTCTATTCAGGTAATCTGGCAGCGGTCGGCAATCACTGCAAAAATACAAAGAAAACAGCAAGGGATTCCTGGATCAATACTTGTAAGTGGTGATGAAGGAATCTGTGATATTTTCATTGTTCAGCCCACAGGTTAAATTAAGAACATGCATGTATACCAGACCCAAGCCTGGTGTCAGATAGGTAATTTTGCTGCTAGCGTCAAATCGAAAATGCCAGGATCGCTAAAGTGTCCCTATGGAATTGCTCCCTCTGTTGGCAGATGCAGAGAGATGTCACACTGTTGCTGACCCAAACACTTGATAAATCTCAATAGGAAAGGAATAGACATCTCACTGCCCCATCTACAGAGGTATTGACTCCATAAGGCCAAAAAGCAGCATCCTAGAGATCCTGCCACTGGTGATTTTGACAAACCACCAATGGCAGGATTGCTAAGGACAGAGTCGCCATTCTGACATGAGCCTTAGAGCTGATATTGTTGAGGTAATCTGTAAAAACAGTTAAAACGTTTAATCAAGGCATGTTCAGATGTGGACATGAGTTAATCCACAGTAAACCTTTGGAGACACGGGTGGATTTACTAAATGCAAATAAGCTATTCACTTTGCAAGGGAATATGACCTTAGTTTAGTGAAAGAGGTGAAGTTCTGCTGACTGCCTTCATCCAATCCTTTGCAAGATAATTGTAAGCATTATTTTCCTTGCATGTAATTGGGTATTCTTTGCAAAGTAAAAATCCCCCTTGCAAAGTGAACTGCTTATTTGCCTTTAGTAAATCAACCCTACAGACTGTAATAATAATTTTTTTAGGTAAAGGTTGGAATCTTGGTCAGGTTATCATTATTATCTGCAACCCCTAGCCTTGTTTCTTGTCCAGCTGCAGGCTGTCAGAGGTACAGGAAGTGAGGTGAAATCTCTCCAGTATATAGACAGTAACCCTCTATCGTTTTTCATGTTACAAGGCTAGGAAATTGCCATTGTCGTTGTACCTCAGGTATGGTTGATCTCTATATCAGAGAATGGAATTATCTCACAAATATGAATGTTCTAATACAAGAGAACCTGCGGCAATCATGAACAGTGCTTTTTAGAACATTGATAACATTATTGACACCAAGCCGACATTCAGGCTCCATTTACACAGGAGCGGTTGTCCATGTGTATTCGGCTGTATGAATATGTGCAGAGCCACTCTAAGCATAAACAAGTGCAATTTTTTTATGGATTCTGCACATTCGCGGCTATAGTAATAGCCGCAAATGAGCAGAATCCGTGCAGATAAAAGTTTTTAGCATTTGCGTGCCGCGCAGCAAACGTAAACGCTATATGTGAATGGAACCTCAACCTTAGTTTTTTTTTTAAACTTTTTTTGTTAATGGTGGCCAGACTTACTTTAAAAAGCTTTTTTTTAGTCTTAAAATATTTAAATTTCCTTGTTCTCTAGTGGTATTCAAACTGCTAGCACCAAGCCCCACCCATATGGGTGCCCTCCTCAGTTAGCCGGCTGCTGTGGAGGCGCCTGCGCCCGCACCCAGATTCCAATGCTTTCTCAGCTGCTCTAGAGCAGATCGGCATCGCAGATAGTATGTGCAGGAGAACCGATCTGCCCTGGGACAGCTCATCGGTCCTGAAATGTCACTTCTATCCGACTTTGTGAGTGGGGTGGAATGTGAGATCGCAATCACAGAGTTGGATAGAAGTGACATTTCAGGACCGATCAGTTGTTCTTCTGCACATCCGATCTGCGATGCCAATCTGCCCTGGAACAGCTGACAAAGCGTTGCAATTCTTCACCTATTGGCGGTCACACATTCCCCCGCCAAAAAACTGGACGGGATTACGTTAAAACGTGTGACCACGTGACCAGTCACACATTCTAACGTAGCCACAAACTTTGATAGAACACCGCCATCAGGGGGTATGGCCGGTACCCATGTGAGGGGTCTAGGGGGCCCCTTACATGGGTATCAGCTGTACCAGAGGCGGCACGGCAGAGCTGACAGGAGGGGGTGGAGGAAGCCGGGCCCCAGCAGCAGCAGGCAAGAAGAGTTGGGAGGAGGTACAGGGAAATGGACCCCGATGTCCAGCATGCTACTGCAACATTAGAGACCGCTGGGGGGGGGCGTGGCAGCGGATCACACTGGCCCCCGAATCCCCCCCCCCCCAGTCTTGGGAGGGGGCCCAAGATAAAATCTTGCACCAGGGCCCTTTGGTTATTAGGTCCGCCACTGCTATCTTGTCTATCTATCTATCTATCATCTATCTATACCTGTCCGTCTGTCTGTCTCTCTTTATCTATCTATCTATCTATCTATCTATCTATCTATCTATCTATCTATCTATCTATCTATCCATCTATCTATCATCTATCTATACCTGTCTGTCTGTCTGTCTCTCTTTCTTTCTATCTATCTATCTATCTATCTATCTATCTATCTATCTATCTATCTATCTATCTGTCTATCTTTAAGTGATTTCATGTTAAATCTACACAAAAGGTGGTCATTTTTATTACACTTTAAATGTTCAGTCTCTAAATTCCAATAATTAATATATACATTTTTCTTGTCTTCTTTTTGCAGAGCTTGGTAAACTTATACAACAGCGCAAAAGCTCCAGAGGTGTGCTGCGTTCCCATCAGAATGAGCTCTCTCAGCATGGCTTACTATGACAACATGGATATTGCCTTCCAAAGCCATGAAGCCATGATAGTAGAGGAGTGTGGATGCCAGTGACAGGACATGTAAACCTAAACTATAAGACTAATCAACAACAAAAGTTATCAGTTCTATTGTTTTACATATAAGACTGTTGATATTGGAAACTTTTGGTGCCAACTTAAATGCACTAAATACAAAGTGAGCGAAGATGGAATTTGTGGATACATTGCTCATCCATATATATGAAAGTTTTACAGGTGATAATCTGGCCACACCATGAAAAACAACCTTGACAAACTAAGAATAGACTGAAAATATCACCCAATCAGGCCAACAGCAATTACTGTAATTATGTAGTTTATGTAAATATATTATTTATTTATTTTATATAGTGTAATGCAAGACTGTATTTAAAATAAAACAATGTTTAACTTTACAATCAAGGACTCTTTCTTGGGAAGCTGTATTTCTTGTGCAGCTTGCTAGACAGTACTGGAGTGGGTAGGGGAGATAGAACAAGGCTTTTAGATGTCTCCCTAAACTCCTGCAGACAGAGCTATGTACTCGCAATCTAATGGGTTCTCACCAGACCTAGGCATGGCTTTTCACTTATAGGATTACCAATAGTGCAAGCATTTAAACAGCAGCAGCAAGGTTGACAACACTGCAAGAGAATTGTCACCGTATCCAATAAAATGCCTACCCAATTAAACTGGAAGCATCAACAGGTATTTACAAAATGTTCTTAGGGGGTACTATTTTTGGCTTTGAATAGAATGGGGAAATGTAAAACTTCTGTCAGATTGTCATTCATGTCCCCATTGGGGACATTTTCTTTCACTTCCTGTCCCTGTGCTGCCTGAACAAAAAATGATTAAATTCGCCAAATACAGTAAAACCTGAAAATAAACACACCATATCCGTTGTTTGTAATGTGTTTAGATGAAGCACTGAGATCTTGAGGAATGCTGAGTTTTACTTGCATAGCAGAACATTATATCATTATATGTATGTATACAGCATTGTGCAGGTAACATATGGATAGGAAAACTATATTAGTTTTCCTATCCATATGTTATTTGAAAACTATGAAAACTATTATTTCTATATGAAAGCATACATATAGAAAACTAACATTGCACAACAGAGCTATCTACAGCTCAAAAGACAAATTATCAGTATATGCTGTTGCATTTCCAACACCAGTGACGTCAAGACTTGCTCCGCCCATTTGTTGACATTGGGGAGCAGAGTTATTACTGTGACAGTTCTGCTCCCGAATGTCAACAAAGGGGCAGAACAAGTCCCTGTTGTCATGACTCGCTCTGCCCCTTTGTTGATATTCGGGTCAGAGCTGTCATTTTGCGGCGAGAGTGCATCAGGATTGGTCGTGTCAGCAAGCATCCAGAATGTTTTCTTTTAGCAGCCCCTTACTCATTCAAAAGGGGGGGCATCTGGGTGCCCCCTTTGTGAAATTTAAATTCGGAATGAATCGCACATGTCTACCCATCAGTTCCTGTAAAGACAACAATAAAAAACAGACAAAGACTCTACCCCTTCCCTGCCTTATTCAAAACAAAATAAGAAAAATTGGCAGGAATTTTGTTTTAACTAGTGATTCATTACTATCCTCCTGCAACCTTACAAGGCCACATGCCCTCAACAAGGGGATGGTGCTTTGCCAGGAGATCACCTTGTTGATCTCAATGTGGGAGGAAGTTTTTTTTCCCACAGTGAAAAAAAACACAGTGAGGTGTGTTTATTTACTATTTTACTGTAATTTGGTGAATGAGTAGGGGTAACAACTATCTCTTACTCATTCATGAGGTGGGGCAGGTATCTGGGTGCCCCCTTTATGAAAGGGGGCCCTCAGATTCAGATAAGCCACTCTGCCCGCAGATCCCCACAACCACAGGGCCTGGGTTATGGAGAAGAGGCCCTTGTCCTCATCATCAACCCTGGCAAAGCCCTGGGACCCCATGCCTTTTTTTTGGCATGAGTTCCCCCCTAAAATTCCTACCACACCTAAAGGGTCTGGTATAATTTTTTTTATTATTACTTTCATGTTTATCAACATTAGTTCATTCTTAATGACATTTGGACAAAATTTGGATGCATTGGTATTTTCGTTCTCAAAAATTTGGATATGTTTGAATTAATTATTTGTTTCATTCGGACGCCTCTGAATGTCCAAAAATGCCAAGAACTAATGCACATGTCTAATATGTAATGCCTCTTAACTGTTATTGCTTACAAAAACAGCAAGTCCTCTACTACCATAAATGTGTACAGGCCTTCAGGTTCCCGTTATAATGGTCCAGACAAAGTATAGAATAGTTACTCACTGTGCAGCCATTGTGAAAACCTCCTACGCTCCACATTATTGCATACATAGACATACATCTTGCCAAAGCTAGAATTTTTTTTCTGGACTCTACATGCATTTATTTTTCAAAAAAAATGGTTACATAGTGAATCAAAGAATCATTAATGGCCTTGTTCACACAGGCATCGGTATAAAGGATAGGCATTTGCTTTGTGCTTGTGAAACTTTTAAACCACTTTGCAAAGCCAATGCCTGTGCTGTAAAATAAACTCTTTAACGGTCTTTAAAACACATGAAATTCAGAATTTGTTTGTATTGTTTTGCTTTGATTCACCTCGTTTTTTTTATGTCATCCCATATGTCAGGTGTTGACAACTTGCAAAGATTGCCAAACACCTCAACTGAACTCAAAGACTGCACATCATATCTACCTTAAGCTGGCCATACACATTGAGGGGAATTTATCAAAACTGGAGCAGACATGGCAACCAACCAACTTCCATCTTTCATTTTCAAAGCTTAATTAAACAAACTGAAGATAGAAACTGATTGGTTGCTCACGCGCAGCTGCTCCAGATTCTGTCTACTCCAGTTTTGATAAATTCCCCCCATTGAGTTTTGTCTTGTTGGGCTGAGCACAAGAAAAGCGTTCAATTCCCCCATTCACATTAAACAGCGTAGATGGATATGTCTCCTGCTGCTGGCTATTGTATTCAAGTAGCCATGGGACCATATGCCATTCACACACGTTTCTTTATACCACTGTGTGAACTTAACCTAGATCGTGTGAATGGTAACACTCTGATGGTTTTCATGATGCTATAACTTTTGCACCATACTTAGTTAAAAAAAAGTGTTCACAATGATGCTGCCTCAGTTGACAATATAAAACCACAAATATGCATCAGTGTGAACATAAGGGCTCCAGACATGGAAGATATGCTGGCAGCAAGCGTTCTCGTGTAAAATAACCACAGGAATGTAGCCATTGCTCTTTATTTCAAGGCTTAACAAAATGAATACAGTTTCAATGAAATGGGCTGAGCTTTAGCAAGCAAAGAGAGGTCTGTTATTTTAAACAGTCTGAACTGTGGGGCAGATTTTTACCCTAGAGAACCATAAGGACAGCTGCTGTCTATCTATTGTCCAATATCCCGTCCAGTTCTGGGCACTCATGCCTCCCAGATGTAGATCAGCAGCAGAGCAGTAGCATCATACACTGTGATTTGCCTGCACTGGAACAAGCACCGAAGGTAGGAAGCCTCTGCCATCAAATGGCACATTGGCTCTCCCTGTTAAAAGATATCCTAATGTATCCTATTTAACAGAATAAAGAACTTTATATTTTACCTAGGTATCAGTGTATTTTTCTTGCTGCTACTTGGTGGGAACCAGTTGCTGGCCACCTTCAGAAAATCTTAGTTGCCTGGCCATGTCTAGCTTCGTATCTTCTAAGTTATTGAGCCTGAACAATCATGCAGCATGTGAAAGTTGGAGAAAAGTCAGACCTCTTTATCTCCATATTTATTCTGGGTCAGTGTCTCAAAATAAATTGAAACTTAAATATCAGAATCACAGCCAAGCAACACCTTTCCAAAATATTGGGGGGCTTTACCACACACATGTACAGTATATTCGCTTTGCATTAAGACAGCCCCTTCATTTTAAATGGGCTGCCAACACACAACCACACACATGACACACATTAACACTGGCAAAGATGCTTTGGATGCCATTCAAAATGAATGGCACAAATGCACCACAATGTGGATGATTTATTTTGTTACTGGAGGGTACATTTCTTGTTCCTGTAAGACATAGGTGGGACGCCAGCCTGAATCACAGGCATCAGACTTTGCCCTGAAATTAATTTGCAGGACCACCTCTAATGGCTTTCTATTTAGACACTTATTAAACATGTGCATTCAGATTTGGACGAACCTGCAAACCAATAAAAATCAGTTGATTCGGCGGTTCGTCCGAATCCGAAATAGCAAATTTAATATATGCCCGAATATACTAAAACGATATTCGTGCATATATAAATTAGTTTTTAGAACACGCCGGGGGACATATTGGCCACCAGCATGTTCTTCTCCATTGGTCTGTTGAATATATCATTTAAAGCATTTTGTTATATCTGTTTGATAAGTCCAAAAAACATTTTTGGAGTCTTGGAGTACAGAATGATTATTCTTTATGTTGTAGAAATATGAGAGTGGGAGTGGCTTAGTAGTTTAGCAAAGGATGCTGGGAAGGGCTGACAACACTCAGTCAACAAAAATGTTGTGTGCTGTTGGCCCATAGCAGGGCTTAAGACCTGAATGCATTTCTAACAGATCAATGGGATTTTTCTGTACTTGCAGGTTCCTTAAAGGGCTAAAAGACCAGAAAGCATGCATGTATTGCAGAGATGTACTGCTTTTTTTTTTCCATTCACCTCATTGTGTGTTTTAAGAAGCAATAAATGGTGTTTTAATCTTTGTGAATTGACTGTAAAGGTTCTCCTATCCCAGTAACGCTATAGCTTGTTCTGTGATGTTGAAGATGTTTAACAGCTTATCCAAGAAACATATTTAGTTCTAATGAGTGTCATGAACATAACCTAACATTTATATCCAGATGGGTAACCTTATTCCAATCACCATAGATTGTTTCAAGGCAGATATTGACTGTCCAATAGATCTCCCAACGGGATGGGAGGTGTGAAAGTGTGTGGAACGGCCTTGTTCTAGTTACATAATACCAC